ATGTAAAAGCATATCAACTCTTAATGGAGACTCCTTAAACAAATCAGACCTTCCTTCTTAGAATCGATCTTTCTTGTATGTGCTCATCTATAAATACGTGTGGTCCTTCTCTTGATGTTCTCGTCTCTCTTCTTTCTTAGGTTGTTCTTCCTACATCAGTGTGTCTTGGTAAAGGTCTGCTAATCTCGGATTTTGTATGCATTTTGGGATTGACTGAAGCAGGAAGTCTTGGACAAGCATTGCAATTCAGAAATCGGCTCAATCTTCGTCGTTTCAGACCATCTCTCGCAGGTGGTGCCAGAATAATTCAGCAAAAGATGCTAAAGTGAAGCATGCATGGCTGGTGGTGATGGGAATCAGGTTTGTGACATTATAGGTTGAAGTCACGCTAGGGCTTCGGGCATAATTGCAATCTATGAGTTGGGCAACGAAAGTAGACTCGAAAACGATTAAAAAATACAATTCGATTACTTCATAGGAGGGTGTGAATTTGGAAATCTCTCCAAATTTTAGTCACGGACCGCGCTTCTTCAAATACATCAAGAGTACATTGATGAGAAGGGGATAGGGAAAGCTTGAACCCAATTCTTATCACGGCTTTTGGAGTGTTTCTCACCTCTCACATTCATCATGAGCATCAACTGCATGTAAGCCAGTCCAATCGAAGTGGAACGAGGAAATCAAATGGCTATTGCGGTTGTGGATGAACTACCCAAAACAGGAGAACCAAAGTTTTATGATGGAACGAAGTTCAGATTGCCAAGGGAATGGATAGGAGAACCAAAATGACTAACATTTATCACAAAGGTTATCAGCAAACAGAAAGGTTGATTTAAAAGGGATTGATTGACAGCTTATCGGAGAGATTGTCAACAACAAATGAGTAGAGTTATCAACCAGTACCATTGATAGTTGACATCCCTTATTGATGGTTCGTCAAGGCAAAATTTACAAATGATGTGTCGATTTCGACAGCAAATGATGTTCCAATACTATTGACAGCTAATTATCCTAATGACTTTGGAAGTTGTAATTTCTAGTGGATAATGATTATCATCGTATGAAAAACATGCCTATGATCTCCTTGTACGTAATTGTTGTTAGTAGGCTATAAATAACCACGTTGAATATTGTAAAATCTCCCTCTCTTTTCACAGACACTCCAGTCAATATAGTTTTTTATATTCCTTTTATCTTGTTCCTCGCTAATTCACTATTCCTGCATTTCATATTCCAGATGTTATTATTTACATAGCTTAATTATGAGCAAAGTAAAATCCTTTCCAAGATGAACACATAACCCCTTTCTCATAAAAAAAGTAAAATCAACCTTTATGTTGAACGATTTTTCACTTTATGAGTGAAACGCCATGAAAGCTTTGCCAACTCTAGCAAAAGTGATACCTCCCCTAGAGTTATATAGTTCATTACCTTCACATGGTAGCTTTAATTTTTTTTATTTCTTGCCAGAACTTGGCATTGAGTTAATTGATATTCAAAATCTCCTGCAATTATTACTGATAGAGACCATTATTATGCGGACAACATGAAAAAAAAAATGGTGACAGGTGAAATTGCAAAAAAAATGCGAATCTGATTTTTCGTTATTTTCTAATGAAAGTTGCAAAGTCTAGAAATATGATTTACTACTGATACTGTAAAGTGCCTCTGTTTTTCCTTTCCTGTAGAATTGGAAGAGTAATGGACACTGACTATGGAGTTCAATTTTTATTGCAGAAACTAGAACCTAAAGCAGCCATGGAGTTCAAAACCAAAGATCCGCGTGCAAATTTAGAACGCCAAGTAATGCGAATGAACATACTAGTCTATACTTCTGTACTTAATTAACTAATGCTAACAATCTCGTGACTTGGGCGAACGAATTTGATTTTATCATAAGGGCGACGAGAAAAGACATTTGGATCAATGACAAACAGCTTTTTATCCACTGAATCAATGCTACATCATGAGATCAATCGATTAGTACTGAATCATGCCGTAATGTACGAGTGAGAAATCTCCATCTTTCCAGAATTATCTTGACACCAAAACTCTCACAAAGCAATTACAACATCCAGCTCTGCCTACATTTGCATAGTCACTTCATTCTTAATCTCAAATTAGAACCGACTCCACATATGGTCTCTTTGATTTCCATGTCCCAGATAAAAAAGAACGTCGTTTCTTTTGTCGTATATGGCATGATATAGTATATCTCACAATTTCAAAGGTTCATTTCGAGTTTCAATGGAACAAATCTTGCATAAGGTAAAAATTCTAATGCTTGAAAATATTACATAAAATCAGGAGATGATTTTTCCAGACAGGATGAATTTGATCGATATTCCATCCTCGGTCAAATTCGACATGTAAGTTTAATCATTTACTCCAAAATGGCTAGGGAATTTTGTGGAAAATTATATCATTATATCATAACACGCTAATGATTTATCATGAAGAGTGGTTAAGGAATTAGATAACCAGAGTTAAGGGATTTCCTGAAGAGCAATATGGCTTATTTGGAGAAATTGATCTTCCAATTGAACATCCTCGTGGATAATATGAAATTGAAAGTATCTGCAGAAGTGAATAAACATAACCAAATAGATTTCAAAGGGAGAAAGCCAATCATTCTTCAAAAGTAGTACTTCGAGTAGATTATAACTCAGATTTGCTTGCGATAGTCATTGACAGCTTATCCAGGATCAACAATCTTCGCTTGATGACTCATGAGATCTGACGTACATGGAATGCATTCTGATCATTGTCAATGTTATCAAGAGAATGATTTCTTTGAAGCTTAAAACTTCAAAACTTCACAGAATAGCTTAAAACACATGTGGCCACCCATTTTAAGTGAAATTTAAATTTTTTGAGGTGCCCAAAAAAATATCAAAAATTTCAAAACTTCACAAAATGGCTTAAAATACCTGTGGCCACCTACTTTGAGTGAAATTTAAATTTTTTTGCGGTGCCCAAAAAAAAGAAAAATAATAAAAAAATTTAAAATTTCAAAACTTCACAAAATGGCTTAAAATACATGTGGCCACCCACTTTGAGTGAAATTTAAATCTTTTGAGGTGCCCCAAAAAATAAAACTAAATAAAAAATTTCAAAACTTCACATAATGGCTTAGAATACCTTAGCCACCCACTTTGAGTAAAATTTAAATTTTTTGAGGTGCCCAAAAAAATAAAAAAATAAAAAAATTCAAAACTTCACAAAACGGCTTAGAATACCTGTGGCCACCCACTTTGAGTGAAATTTAAATTTTTTTAGGTGCCCAAAAAAAATAAAAAAATCAAAAATTTCAAAACTTTACAGAATGACTTATAATACCTGTGGCTACTCACTTTGAGTAAAATTTAAATTTTTTTAGGTGCAAAAAAAATCAATAAATCAAAACAGATTTCTGTTCCAGAAATCAATTTCTGGAGCAGAATTAGTCATGTTTTACCAAACAGATTTTTCTTCCAGAAATCAATTTCTGGCAAGAATTCCAGAAATCAATTTTTGGCAAGAATTTGATTTCTGGAGCAGAATGGTTACCATTCGCACCCTTAGTGACTCCGGCCAAAAAGCTGACCTAGCATTTATATTAAAAAAATGGTTTGACTTGTACACGTGAAAATTATGTGGCTTTCTTCGAATTTTTTGATTAAAAAAAAAAACGTTGCAGTAGCGGCGAGGGAGCCCTCGCCGCTGCTGCCGCCAACCCACCACCGCCGGGAAGGGCCGGCGGTGGTGGGCGGTGTGGTCGGCGAGGGCCAGATCCGGCGAGGTGAGACCTCGCCGTCGTGACCAGGCGACGGCGAGGTCTTGCCTCGCCTCTCGCCCAACAAAGGCGAGGCCGACCTCGCCATCGCCCGGGTCGCGACGGCGAGGTTGGCCTCGCCTTTGCTGGCCGAGGCGAGACCTCACCGTCGCGACCTAGGCGATGGCGAGGTCTCGCCTCGCCCAGCAAAGGCGAGGCCAGACCTCGCCGTCGCCTAGGTCGCGACGGCGAGGTCTCGCCTCGCCGGATCCGGCCCTCGCCGACCACTCCGCCCACCACCACCGGCCCTTCCTGGCGGTGGTGGGTTGGCGGCAGCAGCGGCGAGGGCTCCCTCGCCGTTGCTGCAACGTTTTTTTTTTTTTCTATATAATTTTAATTTTTTTTCTAAAAAAGTACACGTCAGCGGGCTAAACGACGTCATTTTTGGTTTTTAATGCTGACTGGACCTCTTCGGCGAGCCATGGACCTCTCCGGCGAGCCATGTTAGCGCCACATCGGATTTCCGGCGAGCCACGTTAGCATTGGCACTAAAATGATCGTTTTTAAAAAAAGTTGGCACCAAAGTGTTCCGAAAAAAAGTTATGGCACCAAAGTGATCTCCGTACACAAGTTGTGGCACTTTTGGTGTCCTTTTGCCATGAAAAATGATTAAATCCAACCTAATTATTTTATTTAAAAGGAAATAGACAAATTGAAAATTTTATCAACAATTCCCTATTTCATCAATAAACGTAAAATTTTGGATATTAAGCATTTTTCAGCCGCATTTTTCGGCCCTAAACGAAAAATACAAATAAAAAAAAAGAACTAGCGTACCCAAATTGCAGCTGGTTCACGAAAAGGAATGTAAAGGAATAATAAAAGATTCTTCATTTCTCCTTTTTTTTTTTGTTCTCTTGAAATTATGTTTGGTTGTTAAAAATAAGAACTTCGTATAGGAATAAAAATTTAAACTTGTTTGTTGTGTCTTTGCAATCCATCATTTTGTACTTTCTTTGAACTAATAATCCATCTTTTCATTTGGTGATTACAAAGTACCATAGCGGGCTATCAAGAAAAATGGTCTGATCAAGTAGGAAATGCTGATGATATTGGCAATAATTCTCTGCCATGAATATTGTGGCCTGCTTTATTTACATTCGAAATGAAACTGTTAAAAAGAAGTGATCCATTTTCAAGAAGCATCGAAACCTCTCCTCTCTATACATGCAACAAAAATCTTGGATATAGTCAAAGAGCCTATAAATTACTTGAGTACAAATAGCCTTATGTCTTTGACCACATTTACAAGGTAACTCTAGAACTTGATGAGTAGGCAAAATTCCAGCCAATGGCCTTATAGTAGAGTCTGTGGATAGACATGCTTGACTTTTATTGGGTACAGTAGCTTAAAGAGCGATGTGGTTCGGGGTCGCCAGTCTCTTAACTCTCTACTTTTCCAGGGGCGGATGTAGTTACTGATAAGCAGGAAATGCTAACACAAAACTATGGAATCCATAGGGTACCCTTTGAGGCAGAGTGATTTTTCCATTGGCTCGCCTTCAAACTTCTGCGCATCAATCCTGAGACTGTAGATTTCACAATTTCAAAATCATATCAAACATCATCACCGGTAGGCAAACCTACATGATGATTGTATTGAAACTCTTGAACTTAACCTGGGACACATCTGTTTCTTCATTACGTACCCAAGAGACAATGCAACCACTGTCCTCTCCGACACCATCTTTCTTAGGGACAAGAATACACCCGTTGCAGAAGCTATCCTTTTCGAAATTATGGTACTAGACCTTCGTCAACTTCTCGTGACATCTTCCTCTCTAATTCCAGGCCACAGTAAGGTACATTTCGACATGTACAATGGATTATCAGAATAACTTGAAACACTTTCACTAATACCTCAGAGTCAAACAGCCCAGGACAAGGTTCGTCGAAGTATAATTTCACTAGATTTCCATATTTAGCCATTCCTGAATCAAACAAGTGATGCATAAACAATAGGAATCTGATCTTATGCACTACTTTGGGCAAGTGGACATGGACTAGAGAGTAGAGACTAGCATTGCATTACCCCATTCAGAGCTTGACTTTGAATTGATGACTTGAGCATAACCACACTTGTTAAGCAAGCCGGTCAAAATGGCATTTATGAAAGGGAGGTCCATAGAGAATTTAGTGCCCATAAGATTCGACTTCTGAACTTCCCCAATTTCCATTTTCAATCTCCACTCGTAGGCACGGGTAAACAGATAGCCTCTATGTTTGTTAGCATTTGCATCCATTGGTTCTCTAAAGTTGAATCCTCTCGAGAACCAATCGAACTTGTTCATACCCCAATTGGGACACGGAAACACCAATGTAAGAGCTCTGCATCTTCTCACCACAACCTGCATTGTTGGGCAATATCATTCAAATTACGTTTAGTCTAAGAGGATTTTAACCTTCAAATTAGGCTTCCAGGAAAAATATACCTCATAACCGTCCTGAAAGCAGCTGAATATGTGAATTGTGCAGCTTGATTCTACATAAAACCATCGGACTGAACTCATGTCTCCAAAATGTAGCATCACCCCTATCCTCGCATATCTTCCTCGTCATACTTCAGTAACCTACATTCCAAGAAAACGATTAGCTGCTTCAACAAACTAAAATATCAAGTAATAGTTCAAGAAAAGATGGGCATTCATGAATTCAGATCCGCTCTCAAACATTCCAGGAGTGAAGTAAAGCACCCGTTTTAATTACTATGATGGACAACTCCTGTTCGTAAAGCAGGACACAATGTAATCGGCTTAAAGAACATCCCGTCGCATCCATATCCGAGATATTGGCTCGGATCACAAATCATTGCCAAAATTACAGTGAAGCTCTTGGTCATTTAAAGCATCACGGGCATGAGAAATTGTCATCACCAAATGAAGAATGGACAGAAGGATGCAAGTTCGATACGTAAAGACACGGACTGATGGCACAAACTTGTGAGATGGATATAGGCATGACAAAAGACAAGAAAGAGTGCAAGATGATTCCTACCAGTTTTTCCACCGTACAGAATGTCACTCTTGACAGCATCAAGGCCATAAATCCACCTTCAGATTGAGAAACCTATGTATTACCATCTCAATTGACAAACAAAGTAGAATATAGATCCATGGAATTTCATCATCTCAACATCAGTGTCCTATATCTGAGAAAAGTAAAAAATGTTATGATGGTGTCTTTGGTGGCTTATTAATCCATGACAGAATAAGTGGACATAAGCTACTAAAAATGCAATCAAAACCACATAGACATGAGTAGTTGCCATGATCATCAATCGTTGAAGTATTATTCCACACTGGTTGAATAAAGGGTTTCAACAGGGGTTATATACATTGAGTCTTCCTATAACTAATAGTTTAAGCTTTTGGGTGGGACTTTTGCTAATAATGAATGAAGTTCTATTTTATTATGCATGAATAAATGAAAGAATCACATAATAAACATCCGATGCTCTAGGAAACCAACTTTAATAGAACTTGGAAAATGGTATAACTCTCTGTTTGCATAAGAACATATTCATGTCATGTCAAGGATTAAGAGTCTTTCTCTGTGACTGATGACGTATAATGACATGCAATGTACTTCGAAAGCATTCTGATCTATTTTCATTCCCACCAGGATCACAAGCCAGATGACACTGAAGCATCACATTCACGTGGTCGACCAATTTCCCCAAGATTTGTTGAAATAAGACAGAAAACAGTGAGACATCGACACAAAAAGCCCCATGCCAAACTGAAAATACTAATGTGAGATGGGTACTCTCAACTGAATATGATAATAAAAGAACATGATTTTTCTCATCAGGATTCAAAGACACGCATCAAACTATTGTGCAAATGATAATGAAAGAACATGACATGTATCTTCCAAGTCAATTTGCGCTCCTAATATTGCCAATGAGCTATTCCTATGTCAAGATGACGGTTGTAGTTGGAAGTCCTCGCTTCTGATGCAGTACCAATTAAGCTCTCCACAGATTTAAAAATCATATGCACAACTCATGCCACTTCATTTCAGTGCCATAAACAGCTAGGTGATACCTAAACTCTGACGATTTTTTGTCCCCGCCATCAGTCTAGCCAAAAATGGTGCACATTTCTGGCTAAAACCACAGCTATTGCAGGAGCGGCTTTCCAATTTCATTCAGTGGCAGCTGTAACAAAACATTCTGATTTGAGCTGCAGTTTAAGAAAGATGGCATTAAGAGGTCTAGATTAGCTTTCAAAAATTAAAGGACTTAAGAAAATCACCTTTCTAGCCACCCATTGATTACTTGTCATGTTTATCCGAAAAATGTGGAAGCAATACGGTTGATTTAAGGACTTCCTCCATACTTCTGGTTTGGATCTCACACTGTTATCCACAATACAATGGAAATCTTCTGTTGTTCTAAAGCCTCTAGGGCATAGACATCATCATCACCAACAATGACCAAACTGAAGTAATAAATTGCGAATGATGTCAAGGTACGAATTTGCAAGATGATTCATGAAGGCATAAAGTCAAACAAGGAAAGAGTCGCGACATGATTTGTACCGGGTTTCCACCGTTGATGATAATACTTTCAGCCTGATCAAGGCCATATATCTTCCTTCAGAGAGAACAACCTTCACATTGGCATATTAAGTGACGAACAAAGTTTGATACAGAATTCATCATCTTGACATTAGTGCCCTGGCTTTGAGAAATTGCAGAACACGTCTATGGTACCTTCACTGCCTACTTCCATGACCAAATAACGAGTTAATAAAATGCACTCAAGATCACATATGCATGAGCAGTTTCCAGAATCCATCAGATAGTGAATTTCTCTACTTCATAGAAGTTGGAGAGGAAGTATTACTTTATTTACACAAACGCAGATTGAAACCACGTCAAGAACGAAGAATCTTGTACTGTTTGACTGAAGACATCAAATATCCTTCTGGAGGCAATCTGATCTTTTTCATATCATGATCATGAGCCGGATAAAACTGAAGCATTACAATTTCTTTGCTCAAACAACTTCCTCCAGTTGCTGGAATTAAGACAGGAAAATTATCACGTGTCAAAGAAAAGCCTCGTCCAAACTGAAAATACTAATGAAAGCAGGTAATCTCCACAGAAAACGGCACTATACCTGCTATATTTTTTGTTTAGTAGGAGACGTTAGCTATCTCCAGAATCAAATCTTTTTCTCTCTTCTCTCCATTTTCCTTCTACATGAGCTCTTAGTTTAAGAGGCAGCCGAGCGTCTCTTTTTTCTCCCCTTAAGCCGATGTCCACTTCCCTTGTTAAGTTGACTTTTCAACCTTCTCTTTTGTTTTTTCGTTTTTTTTTCACGGGCCCCAGAATTGTTTTTTTTTACTTGGTCAAATCCCAAGTATTACAGTAACTTCATCACGATAATTCAATTACAACATACTGCACCAAACTACCAGGGATAAAAATTAACACCAAATTAGTAACTCACCTACCAACCGGCGTGCTTCAACTTTAAACTTGCGGATGAACACCTCAAACAACCTTTTATGTATTAATGTAAAAATAGAGTACACTTGTTCAACAAAAGCGGATTTGAACAGTGACACATAATTATCTGCAACAATCAGATTGGACAAAACAAATGTCACTTATTTTATGGTGGCAACATCTAAAGCCACCACGCTAAGCTCCAAAGATTGATGTTCTTCCTTAACATTCCCCAATCAAGCTTCCCAAACAGTACATATGGAGTTTTGCAGGTGAATTGGGGAGAGATTCAACGATGGAACAATGCAGCACCAGCGATCGAGGGCACAGCACAATCGTGGACCAACCTTCTTGCCCAACATGAGAAAAGAAAAATGTTGAAAAGCTAAGGAACAGACAATAAGTTGGCCAAAGCAGTCTCCACCCCTGCATCAAACATAACCCATCCCTGCTGGAGACGCAATCCTCAAATTCATAGTTGAATTGGCCAACGACCAGATATTTCTCAAGCACGACTCAACTCAACGTCATTCTTCGACGCCTTTATGTGAACTGAAATCGTCAGGTAACTTAAAAGAAAAGCCACTTACTGTCAGATTCAGTCAGTTCTGTACTCTGAATTTCGCATTGGTGCGGGCAACAGTCGACTAGCATAGAGTTTGTAACCTTCAAAAAGCAAGACCATCACATTATAGAGGATCCATATAGAGGATGACAGAATGAAAACCAGCCATGGAAATAGAAACAAATTCAATGGTGTTTCTGTTTCAACATTAGAAATCAAAAGGTATTTCCTGACTTTGTCAGCAAGACAATAATTATTTTGCTATAATTGGCCAAAAAATGCAAAGTTTTATGCTTTGTGAAGGTTTGAAGCACTGAGCATTGAACAAAAGACACATTGCAAATGCTAAAAACAATAGTATATATGAAAGTTAAAAAGCAAAAGTTCTTCCAAACACACCACAATGTCAGAGCCCGATAAGGAGCAATTCCATTCAACTAGAAAGCTAGCAAAGAAGAAGTAAGGAAAAAATGAACAAGCCATATCACCATCACAACAATTCAGACACTAGCGTCCTTTTCCATGTGAAATTAGAAGCCTTCAACACCATTTCACTTCGGTATTAGCTAACTGGGATGAGTGAGGACATCCTTGGAGAATCTTATGAGAAGGAATTTCCACATACTCATGGAGAAAATGCTACTTTGGATCATAGTTACAAACAAAGTCTGGTCATTTCTTCATCAGCTTCCTCATCAACCTCATCAGCTTCCACATCGGATTCCCCATCAACCTCGTCGGCTTCCTCATCAGACTCGTAGTTGAATTCCTCGTCGGTTTCCTCATCAACCTCGTCGGCTTCCTCATCAGACTCGTAGTTGAATTCCTCGTCGGCTTCCTCATCAGACTCGTCGGGTGGTAAAAAGTCTGGTAATTTCTGGAGTGACTCGCACCCATACCTTTCAAAGCGCTTTAGGGATTTACTAGGGCAGCGAATTTCAACTAAGCTTTTGCAATTCCTAACAATCAACTCCTTCATATGCTCTGACTTTGAAAGGTCCAGTACTTGAATGTGCTTGCGCCCAGAGATATTCAACACTTCCAGGGATCCCAATTTTTCAAGGCCTCCTATCGCATGGAGATTATCTTCCTCTTCTTCAAAACGGAAATACCCTAGGTCTCTGGATAGGCGTAACACTCTTAGGGATTTCAAAGCTTCCAATCCATCCAATTCCTTCAGCCCATAGCAATCCGCGAGCCCTAATTCCGACAAAAATTCCAAATCGGAAAGCTTTGGCAACCTTTCCAATTTGGGACAATCGCCAACGATAAGCGTCTGTATGCAGGAGGGGAGCCCTGGGATGCTTTGAAGAGACGTGCAAGACCAAAGCCAAAGCTCCTTTAGTTGCTTGAGGTGAGAGAGCGATGGGATGCTTTGAAGAGATCGCAAGAATCAGTGAGATCCAGATGCTTGAGGTGAGAGAGCGATGGCAGCTCATTGCTCCGACAGGTGAGCTTCAGGGATGATAAGCTAACAGGAGGTTTTGGGAGTGACTGAAGCTCTCTACAGTAATATAAATGGAGGTGTTCGAGAGAAGAAAGCTCGCTGATATTTTCTGGCAAGCGTGAAATTTTTGTACCCCATAAACCAAGGGTCTTTAGAGAAGACAATCCACCTTTATCAACATGAATTTCTCCTTCCAGTTCAAAGCATCCCCAGGCATCGAACTCTTGGAGGCTATGCAATTTTCCAATAGAGCTCGGTAACCTTTTTATCGGACTCCCATTAATGCTTAGAGTTTTCAATTTGTTCAATTCTCCAATAGATTCGGGTAATTCCATAATCCCAGTAAATGACAAGTCCAGCTCAACCAACTCTCCCAACTTCCCAATTGAAGAAGGGATCTGTTGCAACGCCTCGCAATATTCTAACGACAAACTTACAAGGTGCTTGACATCTCCAATGGAAGGGTGGATTTCCATCAAACGAGTACAATCTTTTAGGATTAGCATCTCTAAATTTTTAAACGCGGAGAGATTAGGGGTGCTCTTCAATCCTAAGCACCATGAAAGATTGAGAACTTTCAACCTCGCCATCTACAAGAAAGAAACATGTTCCAAGATTCGTTGTTAGAAAATAGAATGATTTACCATCAAATGTAACAAAAGAGAAAGCCTTTTTCATCTTTACCTTAATTGAACTCCATCCTTTCCAATTTTCACTAATACAGTTTCCACTATATGATAAATCAAGTATGACCAATTTCTTCAAATGAACGTTGGTTGCCTCGAAAGAGTCAAGACAACTCTCCCACTTTAGCCATCTTAATTCAGAAAGTGATTCTTCGAAATCTCCAGCAAAACCCATGGCCCTCAAATGAAGGAACTTCAGGTTAGGCATTCTTTTGAAGCTCTCTTGCTTCGTGAACTCTTTGGAGCCCTTTTTGTCCAGACGTAGTGCCTCAATATTTTCATTTTCCTTCTACAAAAAATAAAATAAAATTGAGGATTGTAAATACCATCCAACCTCCTTTTGTTAGTATACTCTGCATGTTATTGTGGCCGATGCATTTTGTCTACACTTGTAGGAAAAAAAAAATATATGTGATCTTTTATAATTACATGATCATGTACTACGTCAATTTTCACTCGTATGCCCCAATTTTAATGTTTTATGTGAAATTCATATATGAAGTTAGTCAAGTTTTCTTATAAATTTTGAAATTAAATTTTGTTAAATCCGTAGTATTGACAACTAACTAAATATGGTGTCCCTTTGACATATGTGAGAACTGTTACACGTTTCAAAAACAAAAAGTACCTAATCAAACTTATGCATTCATAAAGCATGACAACTCATTCCCTTCTTGATCATAAAATATTTTTGGTTTTGGCATATGGCTGGATGGAAACGAGAATTTGGTCTTTTGAAATGGAGACTTCGTTTTTGGATATTCAAGCTGTAAGCTCAACAACTAATCCTTAGACGAGGGAGAAATTGTCCAATCAATTCTAAACTTTTCAATTTTGCCGATTTCGTCTTAAAATAGTTGCGTGAAATTCCAAT